TGACAAGTATGGCTGTAATATTATAATATATAAGATTTTTATAAATACTAACATAAACAATGCATTCTGGTACACTCTGAGAAGAAAATACATAAATCTATTACTACCCGACATATTAATAATATTTGATGCCATTGTTTGTTTTTCACTTTGTTCTGACAGCTTGCTGCGAGAAGAGTAAAGAGGAGATAGTCTGTGTCACTTACTTTAAATTGTGGGTAAGGGTAGATAGCCCCCATTGTTCTGTGACCTGTCAATCATCAAACCGGGGGTCATATTTCATTACGTGTTCATTTGTATCTGAAGTTGTACCCATGGATGTATAAAGAATAGTTCTACCGCTAAGTTATTCTCAGTGGGGACTTCCGGCAACAATCTTGATTCTGATTGGCCAGAAGACTCGAAAAAACACTACGAGACAGAAGTTTTCGAAACCGTTTATGGTCTCCGGTACTTCCAGTCCAACGCCGACTGCATGCACAGCGTTAGAAAATCGGCCTTCAAAATAAAAGTTTGACTTAAAAAAAAAAGAAAAAAGAAAGATAATTTTTTTTTTTACTCACATCTGCGACCCACTTGAAACAGGTCCGCGACCCACTTTTGGGCCATATAACCAGGAGGTAAAAAGGGTCGAGCTAGATTACTTTTTCGTAGTATGAATCAGGAAAAGCAATTGTCATTTGATTAAAAAGGCACGATTTCTGGTCTTTATCAGATGCAAAACAACACAGTCATCCATACATATCTGACTCATACAAGGAGTCTGTTGTTAACATCTTTTAAAGGTTGTTTGTTAGCTTGTTCGCTTGCAAGGATCATGGGTTGATAGGAATGTTTTTGCTCCAGGGTCCGGTTTACATCCAGAATGTTTGCCGCCACTATGCTAATGTGAACCCGGTAGCTCTCTAGTAACTCTTTGAAAAATACAAAAGAGTATAGTCAAGGTCAGACATTGTAGGGGGTTGTTGTGGCAATTTAGCACTCACAACAGGAAAGAATGAAACAGAGAGGAATCAATAAAACACAGATATAGTTGATCAATTATTGTTTCGTTGTACAACAATCAATAATAACGAGGAAAACATTACCTCTACTCTCAAGCAGTCCTACAGCAATGCTCCCACCCAGAATGCTATACTTGTATGTTCCAGATGTCGAAAGTTTACTTATCTCATGACATCCTTTAGGACAGGGGTGTCAAACTCAAGGCCCGGGGGCCAAATCCGGCCCGCGACTTCATTTTATGTGGCCCCATAAGAACTTGCAAAGAATATAATATGTTTATTATACGGTTACATGCCGATTTACAGATGCACAATGTCCATAAACTACATGTCCCACAATGCATCTTAAATTTGACTTTTTTTTGTATTGTTACTTTTTTTTCAAAATGTCACTTTTTTTAAATTTAAATGTCACTTTTTTTTCAGAATTTTGCTTTTCTTTTAAAATAATTTTATGACATTCTCACTGAAGAGACTTGCACTTATTTGCCCTAGACTTCTGCTTTCAGACGTAGTTATTTATGAAGTGTTTACCCTATCCGATAACAATCCAATGCAGAGGCAATAAAGTAATATAATACATTATTATATTAAATATTTATATATGTATGTTTATATAATCTTAAAGTTACAACCGGCCCTTTGAGTGCAACCATAATGCTGATGTGGCCCGTTATGAAATTGAGTTTGACACCCTTGCTTTAGGAGTAGTCAACTAACAAAGGTTAACTGTTTTATAACCTGAGGCCTTCTCTGAACTTTCTCTAACCTCGGTGTCAGCTCACTTAAAATGAATACATCTATTGATAATTCAGAACGACCATTGTCTCTCTAACTGTGTGTGACCCAACTCAGTAACACACGTCATATAGCTTACCATGTGACCTTAATGAATATGCCAGAAATACGCTGTAATAAAGATTCTGCCATAATAGGGTATTATTACCACAAGGAAAACACATGATTGAGTGGAGGGGATCTTTAAAATAAAGTGCAACCTCTGCCTGATGTCACATTTAAGATGATCAATCACTTTGAGTGTTGTCCGTCTGGAACTCTGACCTTTCCTTTCAAAATGTCATAATGAATTTAGTTTGACAGAACTTAATAGGTTTTATAAAGTGCAGAGTACTTTATATTTCGAGGCAAGATTTCCATTTTCAACCGTACTTTGCTCCAGTTTAGAGAATGTCTGTGTCTATTCAAGACGTGAATCAGCCGCCTTTAGCGAAACAAAGACTTTGTGTGTGCAAATCTTTTTTTTGTTTGTGAGACAGACGGATCCAGATCCACTATAGTTTAGTGTGGAGGATTTGTGGCTGCTCTCCTAATTTTAGCCTCAGGATTAAGCAGTCAATACGGCTGATGTTATTCACACAGCAGGCCGATTGTTGACAGGAAGGATATCGTTTGTCGGTAGTTAAACAGAGCTTGAACATTCAGATCGGTGGTGTGCGCTCTCCTTGGGATTCAAGCGATATTTACGTTGATGCATAAATATTGTGTGGATTACTGCCTTTAAGATTATATAAATATTAAACCTTCTGTTGAGTAGCTAATAAAGATCCTATGTTATTCATGTATTAGAGATATTGCAGGATGTTTTATGAAGACATTGGTCTTTCTATTCTGTGTTTGAACAATGTAACTCATTATATTATTCACCGCTTGAGAAAAAGGCTTTTGTCAGTTTTCTTACCCACTAAATCCCACCACACTCACTATGATATATTAGTGAGCACAGGCTTCTTATGTTTTATTTATGAGGCCAACATAATTGTCTTCATATACAGTAACCCTTGTATTAATGGGACCTCTGTGTATTAGACCTAGTACTTACAGCAGCTTGAATAATATGCTAATGTCTTCAGCAAGGTGCTCCTACAGTATATATAATGTGATGGGCTTCTTCGTTAATGTGAAATTAATTTGATGTACTCTTATATTTTCTTCAAGCAGACATCATGGGGCATTTGAACAGAGGTGGAATAAGTACTGGAGAATTTAAGTAAGTAAAAGTATGAATACCACAGTGTAGAAATACACCTGCATCCCAGTAAATGTGCAAAAGTATGAGCATCCAAAAAGAAATTAAAGTAGCTAAACTAAAAGTAATCAATATGCAGAATGGCCGTTTTCGGAGTGATATATTTGAATACTACCGGATTGTAATTAATGACGCATTAATGTGTTCATTATTTAAATGCCACAGCTGGTAATGCCTTTTTTTTTTACTGCCAGCAATCTTAATTCATGATAGTACATTATTCATTAGTGAACTAATGAAAAGAAAAATATGAACCTGCAAAGTCACTATGAACTAAAGCTGTCAACCAAATGTGCTTCCAAAATATAGTTGAGAAAAGCACAAAATGAAAAGTACCTGTAAGTTGTACTTAAGTGCAGCTCTTGAGTAAATGTACTTTGTGACGTGCCAACACTGCATTGAAATGTGTTTCTGCTCCGGGACTGAATCATATTTTTTCTCCCAAGGTCTCTAATTGCGACTCTGGCACAAGTTTGCAAAAGAAACATAGTCAAACGGACTCCAGTTTTGTGTAGATGAGATGTAAGCAGCCTGGTAACCACAAGCAGAAGGAGACATAAAAAGAGCAAGAGAGCAGCGAGAAAAGAAGAAGTGGAACCCGAGCAGATTTGTGTCCCAGATGCTTCGGCTAACACTGACCTAGAATGAACTCTTGGATCTGATCAAAGGAGTCGAAGGTGTTCACGTTGTCAAAGAGCCACTCGGTGATCTGGAGGGAGACACACAGGAGACGGGCGTCAATGAGTGGGAGATGCAGAACATACTGTAGTCGTTTTTGTGTCGTATTCTTTATTAGTTATTTTCTCACATTCCCCGTTACATCCATTAGTACTCCAATTTAGATGAACAGTTTCTTTAACCCTTAGATGCATAAGTGGGTCTTTTTTGACCCGGTGAGGAGGTTTTCTTTTTTTTATCATTTCATATTCCAGCTATTCCTCAAAAAACATGTTTTGGATATCATGCCATTGAAATTTGTAATTTACATTTTATAGATTTTAAGAAATTGTAGTTTTTGTATTACTACCCCAAGCTTCTATAAGTGGGTCAAAAATGTTTTTTTTCAAAATATAATTTTTTTTTCTAAAATGATAAATAGTGAAATATTAAATATTTCTAGTGTGAACCAAAATATTATACAAGTGATTTTTCTTAACCAAAATGACAAAAATGGCATAAAAACACACATTATTCTAATACGGGTCCTTTTTGACCCACTACAGAGTGTAGGGTCCAGTCACTCGTGCATCTATCATCTTCTACCATTTTTACCACTTCCGGTTCCTTCGACAAAAAGCAATGAGATTTCTTGATAGGATTTTGGAAAATAGCTCGAAATCAGGTCTGTGGTTGACACAAATTGAAGAGACAGATCACGTTTTGTTCTACGACATTAAATACATCAGCAGTGACCCCACTGGTGATTTCTGAAGAGTTTACGTGTCTGAAAAACGATGGTTGTTACCAAGTGGCTGAATAGGACTACAGAACAGAAGTTGTCGAGGCCGTTTTACATCATGACACCGAACACGTAAACACTCCCGCTAAGTTTGTTTGCCCTGTTCTGCTTGAAAGCAAGTACCTGCCTCCTGCAAACTGTTCAAACAAACGCTTCAACTTCAACTGTAGTTTTGAATATGGATCTTAAGTCGGCGTGACGTTGAAGCAGCGTCCCTGCTGTAGTTCGTTTATAGCATAACGTTAGCATTTAGCTTCTGGCGACTAGATTTATGATTCGAAAATGATAAAAGTAGGGTTGACATGTGGAGATTATCCGGCTGAACAAACCGTGATCCGGCTCTTAAATGTGTTTCAACCACAGACCTTATTTCCAGCTATTTTCCAAAATCCTATGGAGAAATTGCATTGCGTTTTTGGCGAAGGAACCGGAAAGAGTTTACTTCCGGGTTTTAGGACGCGTCACTGCGGTTCTCTATTGTTTGATATACTAATGTTTCAATTACAAATAAAGATGTCCTCAAGAGAGTCTCTGCAAAGCTCACAGTCAGAGTGAAACCTTATATTATGCAGCCCATTCCTCCGATGAAAAATATCAGAAAACATAAATTCTGCATAACATACAGTATGTGTGAAGAGAAAGAAAAGGAAATCAACATAATGTGCACAGCATTATCTTAAAATAACGAACAATAACACTGTCCATCACTTTTTTATCTGCACTCCTGAAGCTAAGTGACTAATTTAACCTTTAAAGAAATAATTTATTGCAATCTATCAGGACGGCGGGGACGTCTTAATTGAGTCTGAGTCATAGTCAGCGCTGTTTCCAGGAAAATATTTGCCCTTTTCTCTTTCTCTCTTTGTCTGGATCTGTTTGATCTCTGTCCATATGTTTGCACTTCTTTAATTTTTCATTACCGCTTTTCTTTCTCCTCCCTCCACCTGCGCACCTCAAGGTCGACACCTACTGAGTTCACACAGAAGTGCAGAAAAGCTGCCTTAATTTATTTATTGCTACTTTGCCATCCATGAAAGCACCTTGCAGTGAAATGAACATGCAATTCATCAATGGTGAGTGCATTCTCTGTCAGATTTTATTTTATTAAAATCATTTTTATTGGGTTATTGTGGGTCCAGACGATGTGTTCATTTTGAAGGTAAAAAAGGTGACCTGAAAAAAAACTCAGAAAGTTTGCTTTAAATGTCAATCCTTTTGTCCTCCCATCTCCTTTCCTGTCTTTTTTTCCATTTTTGTACCTTCAGCTCCAGGTTTGGGTCGTTTCCCAGGTACACCAGCAGGCAGTGGAGGGCGGCCATGCGCTGAGGGTCAGTCTTGCTGCTGGGACACCTTGGACACGGGTGACATGATACAGCAAATTATCTTTTATACAACATAAGCACATTCAAACACACAGACACGCAGCAGAAGCACAGGCAGACAGACAACATTTGGGTACAGCAGTGTGATATATGAGCCGTTTAAAAGTGGGATTTATGAATGAATGAAGCAAAAAAGAACAAAATGTTGTCAAAGAAACAACAAGGGGTCCCTGATGTATCCTCATTAAGCATGATGGTTGACCTTTCTGGCAATGAGTCAAGCTATAGTTGTTCTTACATCCAACTAATATTGAAGTGTGTGTGTGTGTGTGTGTGTGTGTGTGTGTGTGTGTGTGTGTGTGTGTGTGTGTGTGTGTGTGTGTGTGTGTGTGTGTGATTTACTTCACACTTAAATACATGGATGTTGCTGAGGACCCAAATCGTGACGTGTTGAGTATGGGAGTAGTTCATTATGTACACATTGTGTGAGAGCCAGTATTTTGATTTGATAAGAAAGGCCACCTAATTGTGACGTCTGTAGTCAACGCACTATAAAGGACCCACGGCGCCTGTGCTAACGCCACAGTGATGGGCAACCTGTTGAGAGATGCCGTCGAGGAACAGTTTTGAACCGTAACGTAACCATACTCGTACCGTACATGTACATACAAACCGTAGAAGTACCATTTAAGTTGTGAAGTTATAAGCATTATCACGAAAGAAAGAATACCTAAGTTGTTTGTTTATTTGAGTTTTGCCTATTTCTTTTGAATATTGTAAAGGCCTATTTTTCTTTGTTGCATGTGCAAAAGTTTGTTATTTTATTTTGAGCAAACACATCGCAACATCTTCTAAACCATCGGAGGCCAAGCAACACTTCAAACTGTGAGTAATTTAAGGAAAGAAACGAGTTAGAACTGTCTGTTTAAGGCGTCTAGTGGCTTGAGGGAAAAACAAGGAAGGAAGCCACGACACATTGTGTAGTGTATTATTGAGGTACACTACTTAAAGGTGGGGTAGGTAAGTTTGAGAAACCGGCTCGAGATACACTTTTTGTTATATTCCATGGAATGCTCTTAACATCCCGATAGCAATGAATATCTAAAGTGTTTTGGCAAAAAATCCATAAAAAAATGTCATCTCTGGAAGCGGTAGCTCTGTAAAAAGCACGACCAATCATCTGAGCCGGCCCGGCTAAAGTAACTGGATGGCCTACCTGCCTGTCAGCCTTCCATCTGTGCACAAACTTATCTCGTGCCCTCATTGGTCATGTGCGCGTTCGTGTGTGTTGGAGGAGGGGGCGCTGTAAGGAAGTCTGGCAGATTTGTTCCGGCTGTGTATTTTCAAATTCTAGCGCACTCGAGCTGGTTTCTCCAAAATGACCTACCCCTCCTTTAAGTCACTGTGACATCACCCATTGGTTTGTTGGCTAACGTTTGGAAACGCTGAGTGAAGTGAAGTTAGAGAAAAAAGACGCTCACAACACAATTTTAGAAGACCAGAATGTTGCTTTTTTTCTCTATTTTAATCCACATCGCACAAATATTGACAAATTCAATAGAACCATGATGTATCGACGAAGCGATTTAGACCATAAACTCATTAAGAAAATATTCCTTGATGTTATAATTTGAGTGAGACGTAGGGTACATTTCTCATAGACTTCTAGACAATCTGACTTTTCTTGCAACCAGTGAAGTTTCCCCCTGCTGGCTTTAAAAAGTAATGCATGTTTACAGCACTTACACATCGGGTAAGGCTCGCTCGGCAAAGCTGGCAACATTACATTCAAGAACAGATAAAGAAATTGGAAAGAGAGAGATCTATGAGATATATCTATTTGCCAGTTTGACTCATTCGCTCAACTTCTCACTTGAAGGGTGTTTTGGTGAGAGGTTTTTGGGATGAGCTGTTTAGATACTTTTGTAGATACTTGAGGCTTAGCAATTGGCTCGTTTCAACCATAGTCTGTATTTATAGACAGGAACATTTTGCACCAGTTTATCCCAAGACACTGCAGGTGTGTATGTTCCAAAATAACCTTAAAAAAAGACTTCTCCTTTCCACCTGCTCGCTGTCTATATATATATACTGTATATATACCTCCCTCTGCTCTCAAGTTCCTCATCTATGTATAGAAACATTAACCCTGATCGACATGAATCTTTTATTTCCACAAAAAGTCTTGAAGCACGCTCACCTGGAAGGAGCTCGCAGGATCTTCAGCAGGAAGGCAGGGCTCAGCTCGGCCTCGTGGATCCTGCCGCTGCCCAGGTCCAACACACTGCCACTGGACTCTTCTTCTGAGTGCAACACTGTGACGTCAGCTGACTGAGACGGCAAACCCAGGTCCACATCAAGACCTGAAGGTCGTCCAGACAGGGAGAGACAGAGAAAACAAATCAAATAAAATGAGGTTTCTCCCATGTTCCCCTTTAAACTGTGGGTTTTTCTCCGGAAGTGTTTCCTTGTACGATGTGAGGGTCTAAGGACAGAGGGTGTCGTTTTCTCATACTGATATTCTGCACAAACTGTGAAGTTGAATTTTGCTGTAAAGTGTCTTTACTGTAGGGTATTTTTTATTATCTGTACAGCACTTTGGCTCGACCAAAAATCGCTTAAAAATGTGCTATATAAATACAACTTGATTTGATTTGAAAATGAAAGCTGTGTGTTTGTACAGGATCCATGTTCAACCCTACTGTCGTCCTTGGGTCAAATATGATCGATTGACTTCTTTCATCAATCATAAATAATGTGTTTTACATTTGATTGCCTCAGGGCCTTATGATATCCTCCACGGTAGGCATTGGAACATATTTCGTTGCTGATGTATATATAATAACTTTTTTATTGTATATATTGCATTATATGTATATTTTCTACTTTATTTCAAATTGTTATTGTACAATGCCATGTCTTTTTATGCTGCTGCAACACAAACATTTCCCAAATTGGGATCAATAAAGTACTATCTAAGCACTTTCATTACATTTTGAGTGGTTTAGTTAACTTTGTAGCACCTATGATGTTCCCAGTTAAAAATGAGCACCATAGGAAATGTATGGGTAACCCTACATTATGTTCATCCATCAGATAGTACACACACACAAATCAAATACATTTTCAGTGTCTATTCTTTGTTTATTTACTAAAGTTATTCATGCAAACAAGTAGAATGAGACATTGTTTACGGGTGTTCAATTAAAAGTGGTGATGATTAATGGTTGTTGTGTTAATGTAAGAGCAGTTGAAACAAACACGACAGGAAGGTTAAAAAACCTTATCAGGGAAAAAGGGAGCTTGTAGTGTGGATGAGAACGGAAGTAAACAAACTGCTAATTGAACAGAAACCTTGTCTCACCTGAGAGAAAGAGGGAGTGACAGACTATCTCCTGCTGCCTGGTGTTGATACAGTGGAGGAAATGGTCCTGCAGGTACACCAGGATGTGGTAACCTACGAGAAAATAACAGCCTCACTTACACACCTGTTATATTAGTATTCTGTTTGCACACCAGACCGAGGACACATGCGCTCATTTGTAGGTATTCATGTAAACCTCTCACACACTTGAGCTGAATTTATAACTGGATTGTGAGGCATGTGTGTGTGACTGTTTTACATTTCTGTGTGTGCAATGACCTATAGGAATGAAGAGCGGATGGAGATGTGTGGCTTTCTGCTCGCTGCCCAGAGACACTCTGAACGTCTTGCTGCAGTCTGCAGGAGGAGAAAAAAAAATCAAATTTTCTCAGCATATGCTCAAGATAAAAACAGAAGCATAGGAATAGAGACAGCAAAAATAAATTAGTTATTTCAAAACAAATGTAAATAGAGAGAATGCACACCTTTGTGGACTAAAAGCACAGTGTAGCTCACTTCCTGTTTGGCTTTCAGATGTTGGCTGTAGCACACACACATGCTTCCTAAAAACAAACCACAGGGACAGAAAGGTTATGGATCACACAGTAGGGCAAAATCAGTGAAAACATTCATGACGTTCAATAAGAAATTAAATTAGGTGTGATGTATTTTCGATGGAAAGTAATTGGGATTTGGTTTTGAAATCAAAGCCTCAATCATCAATTTCATGAATAAATTAATCAAATGGTAATTCAAGGTTTGAATTCTAATATGACAACATGCAATCATTTGGAAAAGTCTTATTCCAAAACACTGAATATTACTCTTTGTTGAGGGTAACAAACTAATACATGTCAATTGTTGGTGCCTTTGATGGCAATCACATAGGACTATTTTAAAGAGGCCCGGTTGTGCATTTGGGGTTTTCCCTTTCCTGTAGTGTGTGATATAGGTTTTTGTGAATGGTCTGCAAAGGCTAATGGGGAGTGTTCGAGTGTTTCTCCCACACTCAACACCCTCCTGAAACCCCTCCATTGGACTCCTTTGTTTACTTCTGTGACACACTATAAATCATACTGTACAATAGGCAACAGATTCGACTTGAATTTTTGAGTGATCATTATTACATTACATTATATGTCACTTGGGCAATCCCCACAGGAGCAACTTGGGGTGAAGTGTCTTGCCCAGGGACACAACGACATGCTGACTGCAGTGGGACTCGAACTTCCCATCTCCTGATTCGAAGTTCAGCGCACTATCCACTAGGAATGTAACGATACTAAAAACTCACGGTACGATAATATCGCGATAACAAGTCCACGGTACGATATTTATCGCGATATTGACAAATTAAGGGAAAACAATGTGAATTTTTTTTTTTTTTTACTTGATTTTTTTTTTCCTTTATTAAATAATAAATCTGATTTGTACAGCATTTTAGTAGGATAGTAGTATTTTAAAGTGTCAACAATATAATAATCAGACCCTGCAATAGAATAAATAAAGTTTCACTTTAGTTTTTCAAGTAACTCAACTCTATCTCACTAACTCACTCACTCAGCATCATCAAGGTTATCTTTTAGGAATATGAGCATGTCCACATTTCCAGGTAGAAGCTGGGAGGTTTGGGCGTTTGCAATATCCCCTGCTGTGGAAACAACTCTCTTGCTTGGTACTGATGTTGCTGGGACAGAGAGATATGCTTTGGCCATGGGTGACAGCAGTGGGTCAAACTGTGCATTGTCTCTCCACCACTTCAAAAACAATACAGTTTTTGCCAAGAAGTTGAGGCTTATTGACAGGGCGAGATATAAATACACTGTTGGTACTTGTCAATGTCTCTAGGTATGTACATGTAGCCCTGTAGATACCATGTCCTTTTGTGTTATCTGTTGTTTATGTTCATGTTGTAACCTACTTGCTGCCATGTTGGACAGGTCTCCCTTGAAAAAGAGATTGATGATCTCAATGGGACCATCTGGTTAAATAAAGGTTTAAAAATATATATATATTTTGTCAATCTCACGACGATATTGAGACATTTATTTACCGCGATATTCGATATATCGTTACATCCCTACTATCCACTGAGCTACAGCCTCCCCATGATCAGAACAATCATTTTGAAACCAAATTCTTCCAACAATCTTTTGATTATTTAATATTCACTGGAATTGTTCATTACAACACACATCAGCCTTGATTTTCTAAATCTGATTCGTGATTTATTGTGCATATAATTCGATTATTATCATAACTTCTGTTAAAACTTACTTTCTTGTTTTCAGAAATAGAAATGCAAAACACAAACATATTTAGGATTAGTCATGAACCGTAACCACAAGTTAGTTTATTTACATCTCTTGAGGGTTTGGGGAACAAATCTGTGACTGAAATATTATTCATGAAACAATGTTTGCGTGTACCTATTATGTTTGTGAACACTTTCAGCCTCAGGGGCTCCTGCTCTGGGCTCTTCTCGTGATAGTGGTCGAAACCCAGATTTACAAAGCTGTTGGAAAAACACAAAAAATGTCCCAGTTAGTTAATTTGAGTAAATTATATAAATAAAGAAATACATTAAATATGTTCAACATGAGCAATGATGAACGACTAACTTGTACACTGCAGGGAGTGTGAGAAAAATCATTTTAGTTCCTTTGATTACAGGTACATATCAATACCATTTCAAGAAATTGAGAATATAGAATAAAATAACTGCTGAGAAATATATTTAATATGCTAAGCTAGCAGTGGTTGCCTTACTTGACTGTGCGGAAAAGATTAGCAGGAAACTCTAATGGGAATTCCAACTGTGGGAGAAGATTTTTAAAAATACATTAAAAACAAAACATTTTGAATATGATTTGAGCAAAAAGACTGGTTATCTATTAAAGTGTAAGACAGAAAGATGATTTACCATAGTTTCACATTTATGGTTGGGGTAAAACTGCACACATCGCATGAGAAACTTGTCCTGTGAAAGACACACGACAGGGATTTTGAGTTATTAAACGTACCTTGTCTGCCTAAACTGGTCATTTTAGATGATTGTTATAAAATGCAATGTCCTCACAAGTACAGTGGTACATGCCTGAGTGTGTGTCACACTATGCGTGAGATAGTAGACTCGTTGTGTGTGTCCGTCCCACTGGAGCCAGCAGAAGTCCTCTACGATCCTCTCTGCTGTTTTTAACAAACGCTCCGGATTTGCCATCACCTGTTTCACACAAACACATTCATATTCAGCTTTGTGGACACAGTGGATTCTTAATGCAAAGCTCCCCACGAGAGACACAGTCGTTTATGGCTGGATAATGAGGTGGAACCATATATTCAAGGCACTGGGTTTAGTAAACAAATAACAACCTTTTTACTTATTATTTACTGGGTATTTGAGGAATTCAGACCTTTAAAAAACAGCACAGAACCCTCCGGCAAGAAATATTCTCTATGCAATTCATAGCTTTGCTGAAGGGCCACTTTTGGGACTTTTTTTATAAAGTAAGGAGCTGGGTAAAGTAAAAAAGAAAAAAGGGGTGAATTTAGATTCTCACTCACCACTCTGTAACCCTCCTGTTTCGTCAGCATAACATGGTAGAGATCAACATCTGAAACACACAGAAGGATATATATAAATACAACTGTATTCAATTATACGTGTCCCCCGAGAAGGCGGTTTTTTCCCCCTCAAAATGTAAGAAAAAGACAGATTATGTCTCTAAATGTGATGATGTGTTTTCCTTAGAGATTAGTGAAATATAGCCCACACAGACACACTCACATCCATCCTCAGTCAGCAGCAGCAGGTGGCTCTCCAGCACTGATCTCCTGTCAGTTTCTGCGTGCAGGAACTGGAGGCAGAAATCATGAGTCAGCATCTCGCGGTTTACAAAAGCTACCAGATGGAGGAGTTTATTTGCTGATTTCCATATTTTAATGCAGGCCTTAAACATTCTTGGCATTTATTTAAATTAGCGGTTTGGCAACTGGACGAGAAACACACAGTAAGGAACACGGGCAGCAAACAGCGGCTTAATAAGGTAAATAATACACAGAAAACTAAGAAATAGACATATGTAAAGCATGATTAAGTGAGTAAGAGAAGAAATGGAAATTACAAACACAAACAGTAACAAAGAATATGGCACAGATGCACAATAAGTGCAACATCAGCTCCTGGCTGCAGTAAAACCTGCATGAAAGTGGTAAACACACACACACACACACACACACACACACACACACACACACACACACACACACACACACACACACACACACACACACACACACACACACACACACACACACACACACACACACACACACACAGTACCTGCACTTTGACCCTGCAGTCTACCGCCTTGAGGACTTTAGTGTTGTTGATGGGATGGATCTCGATCAGGAGGGTTAGACACTTGGACACTAAAACACACAATATGAGAAATGATTTGAATAAGGTAACGAGGAAGTTTAAAAAAGTGCGTTATGATGAAGAGATCTCGGGTGTTACTTGGTTTGAGGCGCTCCTCTCCTCTGGTGTTTTGTGCCAAGCTGACAGCTGGGGGGGCAAAAAAAGCACAGGCAAGGGGTCATGTGACTTCATTTGCATATATATATATATTCTACACTAAATCAGCATTTCTTCAACTATGATCTGGCACCATTAATCATTAATATGCTAACAAACTTTGTCCTTCCCATTCTTCTTTTGGGATGCAAAATAATAATGTTATAGAGATACTTAACTGCTCCCTAGACGCTTAGATCATTTATTATTTAGACCGGAGTTTGGTCGCTCACTTAATTGCCTAATTAAAGGTCAGAGTTTCGCCTCATTTGCTGCTAACTATTTAATCGGTAAGTAAGAGAGGCTCACCTAACAGGGTCTCCTCCTTGTTCAGAGAGCAGCTGCTGACACACACCTGCTTGTCAAATGTGTACAGGAGCTGTTGGAGAGAAAGCACAGCCTCATGGGAAAATGCCAAAACACACAAGCACAAAAGTCAAAATCTGAAGGAGACACACACACATACGGTACCTTGTTCTGTTTGGTGTTGGAGTCAAATTTCCCAATCCTGGTAGTCCCTGTTGCTCCCTATCAAAAGAATGAATCCTGTAGTTACATGTAGGTCATTAAAGAGGCACTTTTCCCTTTCCTTTTAGGGTGTTATATATGTTTTCGTGCATGTCAATGGTCTGCAAAGGCTAAAATCCCAAAGTTTTCTATTAGCTAGCGCTCCAATACATTGTACGTGATAGGCTAAGGGGCGGGACATCTCTAAGCGCTTGACCAATCACAACAGAGCCGGCCAGCTAACCAATCAGAGCAGACTGGGCTCTGGTTTCAGACAGAGGGTGAAAAGAGAAAGAGGTGCTGCAGCACAGGCAGTATGAGAAAAATAAAGAGCTTTTTGAACATTAAAGCATGGAGACATGTCAGAGTAGAGGCACAAAATACAAATATGAACCTGAAAATGAGCAGAATAGGGCCCCTTTAAATCAATCAAACTACAGAGATGGATATTCCCAATCTGTCTCTAGACTGAGAAAACCTATTTTCCCACTGGTTTCTTGCACCACTTTGTTGTGTAGACCGCCATGCTTGATCTCCTTATTACCTCGACTGCCCTTGCCGATTATCCAGACTCGACTTGCTTGACTTCAAACCAGCAACTCAACACTATTTCGGGGTTCAGAGGATTTTAAATAAAAGGAAGGAAACTGCTCTGAAACCCAAGGCGCAGCCAGGCATGCATGGAGCTGTGAACCTTTCACAGAAAAAAGAGATTGCTTCCTCTTTGCAGACTGCCCACTGTCTTTAACCTAGCAAACCCACTGACTCTTTGGCGAGCCTATCATTAAAAATTCATGTTGTGCAGAGAAGCACAGTTCAGCGCACAGAACTTTATCTTCTGAAAATATGTCAAGCAGAAATAAAGAGGAATCTGTATGTAAGAAAATATAATTTTATTTCATTTTGTGGTGTCCTGTTGGAGAAAATATGGGGGGTTAATATTTACCTCCCTGGGGCTTAAATGAGGGATGCGGACAGCTGGAACAGAATAGTTTTAAACTATATGAATTTGTTCTAACATACTACACTATACTGAGTCAAAGAAGTGAGACCAATGCAGGCTGTAAACTAAACTCGAACAAGCACTGAAAAATAAAGGTTAAGACTAATTACACTTAGAATAAAATTGGGAGGGATGAAACCCTCTTGAATGGTCACACGTGCAGAGAACACAGCACACAGTGAAATGTGTTCTCTGCATTTAACCCATCCTAGTACCAGGAGTCTAGTACAAGGAGCAGTGGTTAATTAATGAGTAAATTCCACAAGGAAACTATTCAATTTGCATTGCTGTCACTATGAATGTACCTTCCAGGAGTAAAGGATGCCTCCATCCCTCTCAATGTTTAGGATCCGGGTGTCCACTGCTCCAGAGTATTCTGCAGACACAGCATCATTATTATGAACCCATACGTCTCATCATGTCTGAACAACAACATGCAGCCTGCCACTGCTCACACTGAACATATAGTGTTACGGCTGATGAGGATACAGTGTGTTCCCCTGTATAACAACTTATTATACATGTGTAGAGAGCCGAGGTGTGTGGGACAAATGTATTTTGAGGGAATCTATAAATGTGCCACCACTGGGACTGAATGAGTTTTGGTGCATTTCCTGCAGAACCACCACTGTCAAGCATCACTTTACCACTTTAATCACGACTTTTGTCTTAGTCCTATGTTCACCAAATACTGGTACTGAGATTGGCTACAGTGAAAATAAATAATTTAAATGATCCATTGTTTATATTATACAGTATTGTCTTTGGATAGAAGGTTCTGAGAAATTCATTTATTAAATTGTATTTTTTATATGTTTTATCTTTTAATTCCTACTAGTATCCATAGTTAGGACGTTTAACAGGAAATAATAGCTTTTGTTTTGGTGTCCTTACAAGGTATTTACAGAGGAAGTATGAGGAGTAAATGGCTCCATCTACTGGACTATATCTACACACTTTTAGCCACTCAATTGTTTCTAAAAGCTCCATTTGCTCAAAGAAATTGACTTTGTATGTGATATTACGCAATTTCATAGCAATGACACACATGAATCATGTAGATAAATACTCTCTAGGCTCTTTAATAACAGTGACAGGTTGAACTGACACTGTTCGCTAGCTATTAGTCAAAGCTATTCAGTTATTACAAAACTTTAAAGAGTACCGATGACACCTGAACGCCTCACCTTTCACTCTGCAGACCGACGCTTCTTTCCTCAGAATGTCAGAAACAACATCTCTGTGCAGGTCAAACTTTTGCTTTAACTTCAGCATGTTTACACCAATCCTCAGTTGAAAATCCCTACTTTATTTAAAACACTCCGGAATAAGCTTGCTTCGTGAAGAGGCGGCTCCTGGCACCTGACGGCCGGTGTGCGTTCAGGCTCTGCATCATGTGACCATTTAACTACATGCTAACTTTGGCTAGTTGTTGCTGAAACTTAAAGCAGTAGTGCACATACAGCTTCCTCCTGTCTTTAGAAACGCATATGTATTGACATGCGGAAATGGAACTTTACCCAGTAATAAGCTCCTCCCTTCTCAGGAGCAGAGTCGCTGCCATAAGCCGAAGAAAGCATCCGTCAGGCGGGTTGGAATCTCTCACGGTCCCGCTGAATGAGAGCACCATCCAGACTCAGTAGTCACAGGCAGGTGACACATATGATCAGTGGTAGAAACAGTTCTTAGATGTTGTACTTAGGTAAAATAAGAACTTCTACAATGTTCAAATACTCAGTTACAAGCAAAAATAATGATAATATAATAATAATAATAATAATAATAATAATAATAATAATAATAATAATAATAAATAAAGCTAAGCTTAAAATAGCACTTTTCATACAACACATGCAGCTCAAAGTGCTTTACAAAATGGCGACACATCACAAGTTAAAAATAAACAACAAGAAATTCTCCTCAGATTATTTGTTAAGAACTTTAAAAGGTACATGCAGCAAAATATAACATTTAATCAGGTTAATAGACACAAGGAGGTAAAATGTATGATAATGAAAATAAAATAAATAATGGTTTCTCTCTGACAGATAAGACACAAGACAACTGAGTCGATGCAACAATATAAAATATAAAACCCCATAAATCAAAGTGAACATATAGGTACAACAAAAATACAAATAAAAAGATTAAGACCTATAAAATAAATAAAACAATATAAAGGTAGGCCAATAATAAAGACTAAAAGAAGGGGGGTTGTTGTTTAAAAATGTCCACTGAGTCGGCCTTAAAAGTCATGCATTTAAAGAGAATTACAACAATATCAGCATCAAAATATACTTTAAGGACAGACTAAATAGTTTTTTATCTCCAACAAAATTATTGTAAAAAAAATAATTTGATTGAATATGTAAACAACTCAATCCCTTTAGGAGTAAGCCATATATTACAAAATCAGCTTGACAGTAATACTCTTATGTTTGTATTTAAAGTTCCCTCTACTCTTTGTATGGTAGGATTAATGATGAGCACATAAACTGAGGCAATTTAATGGGAAAACACGTTTTTGTCAATGAAATTATTCTTTATGACTTTATTTGGGGTCCTGTGTAGAGTTAGTGCACACAGTAACTCTTGTTAAACTTGCAAAAGCACAGCCCAACACTAAATAAATCCCAGAAATCGGGTTCGAGATGCAGACAAATTGAACTCAAACATAGTAAGATATTTGAGGCCAACCATATCAGATGACACTTGTCTTGGCTGCCTTCCTTCCAAGTCATTTTTAATTTTTTTTATTTTGATGCAACATTCATGTATCAAGCTTCTTTTCCCCTGTGTATTAAGCTTTTTATATATGCTATAAAACACACTCTCCTGCAGAGAAATTAATAATACAGAGTAATCATAAGTTCATTCTTGAATAGTTTGAAGTCTAAAATAACATCTGCTTGTTGGCTAACCAACTCAGATGTACAATTAAACTATAAAATGTATTTATGGTTATTACATTTTATGCTGTTGAATTTTATAGCTGCATTAGTTTCCTTCCAGACAGCTCATTAAGACTATGGTCTCCAAAGAACAAATGGTAATGAGGGTGGCTTCCTCTAGCAACAGTTTTATTGCAGTAATGATCTAAATACATTAAGGTGGAGAACTCATTTACAATATAGCCGAGTTAAAAACAAACACAAATACAATAAGGAATCCTAGGTTAAGGCACACAAATAAGAGACCCATAATGAATACATCAGTGTTGCTGTGAAACATTTTTTAAAGCATGAATTTATTGGGAATGCAATTTATTTTACTTTATGTAAGCTTGCCAAAGTACATTAAAATGAACCCTCATGTAATTTCTGATATTTTAACATTTGATGACCAACACTGCTCCCTTCTGATGAGTTTTAAAACTGCAAATAAGAGCCCATGTCTGAGCACTTCTGATGGAAAATCACTACTTTGATTCTCATTGTTCTATAATAATAATAATAATAATAAGGTCTTTATGGAAATATGTCACATTTAATGCCATAACTTATTTACATTTCTTTCTTGTCATATATGATCAGTTTCTCCACCAAATCTGGCGGCACACAATTTGGGGGGGGGTGGAGAGCTCGATCCAAGTGAATTGTCTCCATCAGTGGTCTTTCATAGTTTTGATGTCTTAAGTATTAATCTACAAAGTAGAACACATTTTAAATAAACGAAAACCATTGAATGAGAAGGTGTGTCCAAACCTTTGACTGGTAGGCCTACTATATAAAGCTATTGTTGACTACATCTTCTTCATTTCTTTTATTTCTGCAGAAACAAATCTGACCCAATTAGAGTTAGTGGTACAAAGTCACTTTTCTACAAATAGTGCATCCACCTTTAAAATACACTGTAGGATTAAACTATTCTACCAGCTGATATGTTGTACTGTTCTGAGTGGACAGGGTGAGTTTCGTACATGAAACACTCATCTTGGCTGAAATAACAGGGGGATGCAAAACATATTTTTCTAGTTCTCTACCTGTGTTTTTGATTCTTGTTTTACTTTTATGCACCACGGGTCACGACACCAAGTCAAATTGCTAGTACGTGGTGTAATGTAAACCTACCTTGTATTAAACCCGTTTCTGATTCTGATTCAGAAACCGGGATGGCTGGCCGAGTAGAACCGAACCTCCCCGAGTTATGCCGGAGTTTCTGTGACGCCGGTCCGCCCGCCCCTTCCCCCGCCCGGCTCTCGTTCGTCCTTCCCCTGGTCCTTCCCCCCCAAACTCAGCTACACTACTGGAGCTGGATAGTCGCCGAACCACAGCACTGAACCTACTGACAGCTGACCCACAAGGAGGGAAAGATGGAGCACAGAGACAGCGACTTCAGCATACTGTTAGCCACCGACTCATACAAGGTAAAGTACTCATTTCTGATGGAGGAAAATACAGCATAAAGTCAAGGTGGTTGCATCACCGGTCCCAAGGCCATCTTCACTGTGGCCGGTCTCTGTCGGTTCACAGAAGGCCGAATTGGCAAGATAAGGGCTGGAAGATGGAGTACCACAATTCAGGAAGAGAGCATCCATCTTTAAGCCACCTAAAGTATATCTAAAGCTGCTGGTTGTTACGTAGCTGGCGTTGCTAGTCACAGTGATATGAAGCTAGCTGTGTTAGCTAGCTAGCTCATGGGAAGCGCAGAAAAGAGGCAATGGAGATTGATATAAAAAAGAGCTAATATTAGCCACAAGCTAGCTACTGCTGTATTGATAGCCCGGCGAGCTACACATGGACAAAGTCTCATTCAGTCTTATTCAAAAGCCCAGCCAGGCGTCATGTTAGCTGGCAATGCCAATGCCTCACTTACAGGAAATCAAAACCGAAAGTTAAAATGAGGCATGAGTCATTTCTCTGTGTGCTCCTATCTGGGTCCAAAGTCATGCGTATAATTGGTACGTTTGGTCCCATAACAACGATTTGTAATGGTCGACTGCCTCCGGCTTTGATGGCGAATGAAACAAGGAGTAATGTTAAAGAGCGTGGCTGCAAACGCAACATGTATCCCAAGAATAAATGCACTTCTAGGAGTGTTTTATCTCACGTAGCAAGTGGTTTCCAGGCCAGTCTCCATGTTCTGCACAGTCATGTGACCGGTCAGTGGTGGGTGTGATGATGGGACAGAAGGGCAGAAATTACAGGAAGGGAGTCAGGGTTGAGTTTAAATGGAAAATGGGAAGCTTAAAACTGTGAGGTTGATACTCATAACTGCGTAAATGGAGTCTTGATTTAACTACATTACAAGAAAAGGTGTTACCCTACAGGCTGAATTATTACAAGAAGAGGTGTGATCATTATGTACTTTCTCAAAAAAATCTGAAGCTCTAGAGAAAATTACTGGGAACTGAGGTTGGACTATTAGGCATCATCCTGCTTATTGGAAAGTACCTCAAACTAAATTCTGTTTCGGTCATATACATCACAATAATAATGATTAATAAGATATATTATAAGAACTGAACTGTACTATTACTTGTCTAGGCCATCACATTATTGCATTGAAAGTCAGAGCTGGCACCAGGTAGAGTTGTGTTTTATTTATATAACACATCTCTTAACAGGGTGATATTTTTTGAACCAGTGTCTATTTATACTGTCTATTTACACTGTGAGTGTGTAAGATTTTGTGAGGTCTTTTCATATCAAGTATATTAATCAACATGTAAAACAGGTGCTTTATCATGTAATGGAGCTACCAAGGCTAAGAAATAAAAACCCTTAAGTCTCCTTACACAGTAAAGACATCGTTTTTAAGGGATGTAGTACTTATATTCATAAAGGAAATTCCTTTGAGTGTAAGCCAAGTGTTTTTTACACTACATTTTTAAATGTATATTTGTCTCCTGGAATCCATTTCCAAGATATATGTTCACTTTCGGTTTTTATTTCTCGGTAGTGAAATATTTTTACAACGTTTCGGATATAGCTTATCTCTATCATAAAAACAATGTCAAGGTTGTGATAAGGCAATTTGTATCTACAAAAAGCAATTTGAGAACCATGATTTATCAAAGGTATCATATCCACTTTTTGTAGACTTGGGGAAGTCTAATATATCTTTCTTTATTCCTTTTTAATAAAGACTTGTCAAAATGCTTTTTTATGAGATTCCCAGTGGCAAACAGAAGCATTTGCTCTTGAAAGCTACCAGGTGTGTGTCTAATCTAAAGCAGAGGATTGCTGAAAAATGTCAAGATAATGAAAGGCTCAAGAGGAGCAGCAAATATCAGCTCAATGGGGAAAAGACTAAGGATTTGAGTGTGTCTGATCAAATGTCATGTTAGGTATTTGCCAGGCGAGGCAAACCTGTGTTGTCGTACGAGGCTGGAGTGATTCTTTAAACACAAACACAGTGGTAAACAAAAAGCTCCCAGTCATTTAGGATCAGATGTGTTGAAAACCTGAGCCTATATATTGGGAAGTTAAATTAAAAGGCAGCTGGCTTAAACCTACATTTATGTAATGTGCA